AAAAATCCAAACTTGATAGCCCTATTGAGAAATATAAATAGGCTAGTAACAAGATAATGGTAACCTATATTATTCCGATCCCTCTTTTCAATCCCTCCGATAAATTAGTATTAGCATATTTGCTTTTTATAATAGAATATATTAAAAGATATATATTCCCTTTTTGGTTTTTATTATTTACCATCGATATTCTATTCGTGGTTTCGCTATTTTCTATTATGCTTGAATCACTCCCTGATTAATTGGCTAATTATAAATGACGAATCATTTTCTATTTTGACTGGGCAATACTTTTTGCCTCTAGCTTGATAATCGATTTACTTTATGCCTCTCCATGATCCCTTTTTAGAAAATACCATATTAGTATACTAAAAAGAATAAAAAAATAAGATTGTAAGAAGAATATAAAAGAATAGATAGAACAAGAGATTGACACTTAGATAGTAAGAAAAAGAATAATAGTCGGAGGGTATAAATTTAGATTGTAAGAAAATAAAACTTAGATAGAACAAGAAATTCACACTTAGATTGTAAGGTATTAGATGCCATATATTAGGTTTATCCTAGCCTAATAGATTCATCCTCTACCAAGTGAGTTTTTATAATTTTTATACAATTATCCCCAAATGAGTCATTTTTATCCCTACCCTATTTAACAGACCAAACCTCCCATAAATTTTTCTTCCTCTCCCAAGTCTATTTATCCATTCTCAAGTCCTATTTACCCTGCACCTTTCATTGTTTTATATGAATAACTTTCCCCTCGTTGGATCCCTATTTATGACTTCGAGTGAAACTCGATTTGGGATCATTTCATACTTAATCTAACTATTTTATATAAGTGAGTGAGATCCTAAAGAGACAAATCAAGAAAGGGGGATACAAAAAGGGTTTACGAAGACGAAATACAAATATATCAAATAAGTAAAAGGAAGATTTCGAATGGCCCATATATCTAAAGGGTGGACGCTTTTAGATTGAGAAGTTTGGTAAGCCATTTGCTAAGAAGCCATAATAAAAAGAATAACGTGAAGAATCATCAGGGGGATGATGGAGAAAAAGGAAGGACCGTAGAGGGAATGCCTTAGCTAATCCCCCTAAGACACCACCACATTGAAGCCCCCTACCCCTTAGGCAAATAATAGGAATCGAACCTATACTTTCAATTTCACATCCTGCTATTCTTCCTTTAAATTATATTTGCTTCCCCTATTCCCTCTACCCCATCCTTTCTCCTCCTTTACCGAATAATTGAGTCGAACACTTATCTTTTCGTTTACAAAACGTATGCTTTCCCATTAAGCTAATTCGGTCCCCTTTCTTACTGTCATCTCTCTTACATCCCCTAATCCCTTTCTTTTTTCATTTATTAAGATATCCCGCAAAATCCTTTTTCTTTCTATTAGTGAGGTTTTGTTACTTTTATTAGGGGTTATAGGGTTAGTAGCTTAATGAAAGTCTTACCATGTCAAGGTAAGGGTTGCCATGTCGAATTGGTCTAATCCGTATTTTTGTTTTACCTACCTATTCTTGCGCTTATGGGCTAATTCTTGGACCAACTTTTTGTCGATATCGTCGTCTACTCCCCAGAGGTAATAGGAGGGACTCCCATACCCAAAGGTAGAGGTACCCCGGCTTTACACCCCAGAGGATGACTCAGAGAGGTACTCGCCAGAGGAAGCCGTTGACAAATTCTTGCGCCCCTATTCACTCCCCTTTCCCGCAACCCATTGTCATCACCTATGAGGTTCGGTTCCCCTTTCACTCTCGAATGTTTAAGCTATCTTTTCCACGTGCATTCTATCTTCCCCTGACCCCCTTCCCTGTCTCCTTACAGGTGTCCTGATGGCCCTTACATTTATCCTTATTCTTTTAAGCCATTTATCCCCTATAAGGTGTGTTATCTTTTGCGCCCTACTTTTCCTTTATCCTCTATCCCCAGGTTTCTCTACCCCACCTAAACCTTTCGTCCTTAGGACTAAATGGGTTTGAACCATTATAATACCCGTTATGAGCGGATTGCTTTCCCTTTTAAGCTATAATCCTTTTCCCCCCTGGTACTATCCCCTTCCTCCAACCCTCACCTTTTTATCCTCCCATTGCACTCACCATCCCGCCCCCTGAGTCTACTCCACCGATCCCATAATATTGTTTATGGTCAAGCCCCTCCTTCCTCATACTCCTTCCATTTTCTCTTATCTTTGATCCCCCTTCCCAGGAGTCTCCCAGAGGGCCCCCCAGAGCAAGACCAAACTACTGACCTACCCCCCAGAGCAAATCCCTCGAACCTCTTTTTCTTTCTCTTAAACTATTTTTTTCGAAAAAACCAACATTTTCTTCTTACATGTATTTTTTCATTATCACCAACGACAACTGTTTTTTATAAAATTTACCTATTTTTATTATTCTAAAACCTACCCTATACCCAATTTTTATTTCTATAAGCAATCTTTTTGTTGTGTAAAGTGCACTTTTATAGTTAAGTTTCTAGTAAACGTGACTTCTTGAGTCACTCACAAAATCACGGGATAAAAAGGGTCACTAATTATTGTAACTATAAATCAGGATAAATCAATGTGGAAGGGTAGGAGGATGTTTGAGGGTGGTAATCCGTTAGTAGGTATCAAGAATAGTCACAGGTGCAAGAGTCTCTAGAAAAACATAAAGTGGTATGGGTTGGGGAGGTGGATAGGGATCGTGCTAAGAAGGGGTACGCTTGTGAAAAGAGATTAGATACTTAATATATAGTTGATTGCATCTTACCGTAAGAAAATAGTTCAAAATATAGCAGAGTAGGAGGAATCTATCAGATAAGTTAAATTGAATACAAATACTTTCCCTCCCCTTTTTATATTTTTTACCCTTCTCTTATTAAACTATTTCTTCTTATTTTTATTCCCTTATTGGGACATGATCTTTTACATTAGGTAAATTATCAGATTGGGGGAATATAAGAAAACCCAGTCAGGGTATGACAAACTGTCTCTAGTTGGAAGGTTGTAAAGACTTACTAAACATATAAGCCTTGGTAAAATAATATTTATAAAATATCGTCAACTAATGTAGGTTGACAAGAACTACTAAAAAATATAACCCAAATTGGGAAGGAGACTGATAACTAATAGATATCAAATAAGTTTAACCTTCGTGGGAACACAATAATATAATCAAGATTGTAATAGTACGTATAGTCATTAGTACGAAAATAGGTATGATATGTGGGTATAATTAGCTTAATAAATAGTGCAAAAGAAAAATGGATAGTGAAAAGAATGGTGGGTATAGAAAGACAAAGGGTGGAGTAATCACTATAAAACCTATTAACTGTCTAATAGCGACCTAATCTTATATAAAAGAAAATAATAATATATAGAGTGAATAGCCAGAGAGTAGGGAAATAGTAGGAGTATATGGATGTGTATAAAGATAAATAGATTAGGGGTGAGGAGAAAAAGGAAGTGAATAGGTGTAAAAGATAGTAAACATAATAAGGAGTAAGGAAATAATAATTTATAAAAAGGAGTAAGGGAATAATAAAAGGGGGAGCAAAAACAAAGAATGTAGGGTATCCCCTATTAGATTTGTGGGATAATCTAGATAAAAAAAGATAAAAAATGACTAGGGATCCCCCTCAACCATAATACCCTGAATGAAAGAAACTTTGGGACTGAAAGACGTACTCATGTGTATTTGGAACAGTGTAAAATAGAAAATGGATTTGCCATAATTAGTTAGCTTACCCCCTACATTCCAATGTGAAAGGCAATACTAGCTTGACCTACGGGCTAATCTAAATCATTTATCACCTAAATTTTAGGTAGATTCCAATTTATAGGGCTATTGAGGAATAACTTTAGGTAAAAGATGACTCTCTACTGGAACTATCAAGACCTGTGTTATGGGAGCAACTACATCTTAATTCTTTGGTGAATAACCAAATATTGGATTCTATAAGTAAACGTTCTACACTAGTTAGCACTACCGTCCCCCAAGTAAGTCTCGTAATAAAAGTTTTATCTAGTAGTCATTCACGACTTTACTATTATCAGACCCCTCCTACTTGAGTTTACCGTTTTAACATGATTTACAATCTCTGGGGCTATCCTTTATCTTTATCCAAGCTAAGTTTCCCACCCCGGCCTCCCCACACTAACCCTTTTCCCTCTTTTCTATTCTCATTTGTCCCTTTTTGTTTCTCTTTTCAGGCTTGTTGGTTCTTTTGTCGATTTCGTTATCCTCCAAATTTTATCATCCACTTACCCACCTTAGTCTCTCGTCTTTAAACTTTTAGTTGCTATTACCAATCTAGATTTTAGATAAAGTATCCAAGTGTCTCCATGAGAAGGGATTCTTCTGTACCCCGAATTAGTTAAATGCATTACACCCAATTACTAATCATTCACATGATAGATTTATCCCTCCATTCCCCCTTTTGTTCTACTTTCTCTTTTCCCCATTACTTTTATTAACTAAAGTTTAGATTCGTTCTACAATTGAGATTGTATTTGGTATGCTGAACTATTAAATATGAATTATAAAGTATAAACCTTAAGTTATCAATATATGAATAGTAATGACTTCCCGTTGATTCTCATAGGGTTAATAGGTAGGGCCATAGAATGATAAACACTAAATCCAATCAAAATACCTACAGGTTTACTGATATTAGGACTGATTTTACCCTAGTATAAGCCTGATTACCCTCTTTCCCTAGTGAGCGAATAACTATTATTTACCTTCGCCTACAGTTTAAACTATCGATAGCCATAGAATTGATGAAGGGTAGTAGAGAGATTAATCCATAATGAGTCAGTAATAGACTAGATGTGGGATGCACTACTAAAAGCAGTATCTTACTCCTCGAGTAATCAGTTAGGAAATGATCATTATTTTAGATGTATTGTTAGACCCCCGAAGGGAGTTACTAGATACACTATAAGTCTAAACCAGTTAAAGCAAGCAGTAGATATCAGTGTGGTTTGATCTATTAGAGTAGAAAGAGTGGTAGTAGATCTAATGTGTGGGTAGAGAGTTTAGATAATAGAATAAGTAGTAAATCAGCAAAGGTGCCAATGATTATAATAAATAATGTAGAATAAGTAACTAGGGAGTGTATATAAGTGAAGGTTTAGATGAATATATAAATATGAGATTGTGTATAATCGTAGTAATAGTTATAAGATTAGTTAATAGTACAAGGGGTAGTATCCATATAATAGTGGATATCTAGTGGAATGTCTAGAAATATATACATATGAATATTATGTATCTTTTAGTCATTAATACAATTCCACCCCCACGAAGAGGTGGCCAAGAAATAAAAATACAATATAAATATATCTACATTTCACATAAATTACCTACTAAATATCGCCAAGATAATATAAAAATACAGAGGGTAGCAATAAGATCTTTAAAAGTGGATAACTGTCTAAAATGTTGAACCTTATAGAAATAGTTAAAACTCGATGTTAAAGCATCAAAATAAAAAGAAACCGACCACTGCATGGTGGGATTTTATGAAGAACGTAAGTCATTAAGGTTTAAGCTGTAGAAGGTTCACCAGTGCTAGAAGGTAAATAAATCTAAAAGGGTCAATAATCTATGACGAAACTCCACTAGAAAAGGTCCAATAATCATAAAAATCCAAATAATAACTGAGAACGTCAAAAGGAACGTCTAGAATATAGAAATTAGCTCAATCGAGGGAAACAGTCATCAAAAACTAATCTACCTGAGTAGACCCAAAACTAAAAAGGGTATCGTGAGAATATGTGATAGAATGGTCAAAAGCATAAAAAGGAAGTAGGTCATAGAATAAGAGAGTGGTCAAGGGTTTAGGGAAGAATCAAAACCAAAAGAGAGAAAAAAGAAACAATGTGTGACTAGCAATAAGATCAAACCTGTAACGATCGTAAATAAAACTGTCCCTTAAACCTACTTACACGCCTTTAGGAAGGCATCTAATAATACCACCAATAATCATAAAAATCATCAATCCCATGATAGACGTTTTTCAGAGGTCAGTATTAGACAGAGGGTCAAGAAAACGAAACCATATAAACCGTCATTTGACTAAAAAGGTCCAAAGTCTATTTTAATCAGTAGTAGTTAATATAAAAACTTTGGTATATGTTGCAATAGCCATAGAGAAAGAAGAGATTCAATAGATAGAATACCTACGATTCCCAAATGGATCACTACCAACATCTCAATATTTATAAGGATGCTAAGATTACTGCCGATTTCCTAATTTATAAACTGATTCACTATAACCACCTTTTTTGAGAGAAGTCTCTATGTAATAAAAGAG